AGAGTTGGGGCTCATTTTGAAGGGTTTTTTCAGAAAATACGCCATACCGATGGTGAAGTGTATTTTTTGAGGGCTGGGAGAGGAGGTATTTTTTATAGGCAACTGGTGGTGGGTTGTGTTGCTTAGCTTCTAAGCCTCCTCCATGGGTAGATGGATTTTGATGGGTTTTTTCAGAAAATACGCCATACCCGCCGTATCTAGTAGATCTGTGAGTTTGCAGAGAGAGAGAATTGAAAGTGAAGAGTAAAGGTTAAGATGGTGAAGTGGGTATTTTGAGGGCTGGGAGAGGAGCTTGGAGAGAGAGCGAGGGGCTCTTTATTTTTATAGGCCACAGGTTTGGCTCCATAGCTTAGGTACGGCTCCAAACCAAGCCTCCTTCAGACCAGAAAAAAAAAAAAAAACGAAGCCTCCTCCATGACCATGCCTAGCTGGGCTCAGCTCAGGGAGTAGAAGAAAAATGAAGATATTATTATTTACCTCATAATCCAGGCACGGCGCCAAAAGTTTGTGTTCCTTGCTCCACTCTCACAGAAACTTCCGTGTCTCATTTTTCATTTCACACTGCCTTCGGACCACATGTAGAAGTTCCATTGATTGATCACTGTTTGACTGCATGATTAAATCAACATCCCATCTCCAATCTCTGCCATCCACGTGGCACAGGCCTTCGATTTCTTTTTGTTTGTTTTTTTGTTTTTGTGTATTTAATTAATATTCTATTCTAAAGGGGCTTCTTTTGGAAATATCAAATAAAAAACATCAAATTTGAATTTGACGGCTATGTGGTAATTTAACATTATTGACAACTTCTTATTCCACCCTAATTGTTAAATAAAATTATAAATTTTTTAAAGAATAAATGAAAAACAAAGAAAATATGGTAAGAGAAAAGCATATGGAAGCTTGAAAATGTCACTTTTGATACACAGAATTTGACGGCTACTCTCTTGTACAGTTGTAGCATTGCATTTTTGACTTTGTTTACTCAACTACTTTCAAGTCATTAATCTATTTATCCTATTTTTCTGACTTCCATGTTTCCAGAGACACATCATCACGTTTTTTATATTATTCCTCAGTTACGTAATGGGATGAGCTAAATAGATTAAAACATGGAAGGCTGGAGAAATTAGATAATTAGGGTAAAATAATATTCTTTTTAATTGGCCAATGTTTACAGAGTAGTGATTAAGGAGAAGGTCGCTTTTAATTCAGATGTGCTTCTCTTAAACGTTGAATATAATTCATCCGCTGCTTTAATTGAACAAATAACAAACGAGGTTGGGATGGGAGACTCCTTCCAGGGACAAAGGGCTTTAAGCTTACCTCTCCCAAACTCACATTTTTCAGTCAATCTTATATAATTAGGTTGTTGTGATGTGACAAAAGAAGATTCATGGAAAAATTAGTCATTTATACATTGCAAAGACAAACTTTGGTCACTGACTATGTCGAATTCTTGGCCTTCCCGTTGCTTCCATGACTTACATCGATGCACCAACTGGGCTGACTGAGTATGCCTAATTCTTTGGAACCTCTCAGCCCCTACATGTTTTCATCGGGAATCCATGGATAATTTCTTCAAACTCAAGTAAGAAGAGTCCATTGTTAAAGGCAAGGCTGGCCTAAGATTTTCGGAGCATGGGACAAAGACAAAAGTATATATATATATATATATATATATATATGTGCATCCTCACAATCTAACCTCGCAATTATACAGCTGTTTATGTTCCTAAATTTATGTTTGCGAGTTATTGACTCCATGACCAATATTCAAGCCACATACGCAATTTCAACTTTTCCATGGTATCTTCAATCTCACCCAAGGGTAGGGTTTCATTTTATGAAGCTTCAGCTGATTATTACTATTGCTTTAAAAGAAAAAAAGTGATGCTCTTCTATTTTCTATTTTGTGGTTGATCTCTCTATATATATATAGAGTAACCTTATATGGTTACTATGCTGTTATATTTGTATTGTTTTTTTGTGGACATTTGTATTTGTCCTTGTGACTGATGGTCTTTGTGCTTAATTTATAATTATCTCACGCATGAGGAATTAATTAATTTTTGGCAGTATAATAATATTCATGTTCAACGACATTTTAATTAACTTTCAAACAAAGATATGACATACAAAATCTATTAGCTATAAATTCTAAATTGATTTGGGATTTACCTAGTCATGAGAGAGAGAGAGAGAGATCATCACGTTGGGTCTTGGAATGTAGTGTTCGGTAGCCCCAACTCTAAATCATATATTGAAAAAACATAAAATATTGGATTATAAATACTTAATCTCATTTTTAAAACTGGGTCAGAAATAATTTGACAGAAGATTATGAAAAAAAAAGTAAATACAGCTAGCTGCGAAGAAAATTTGCAAAGACCCGATTGGGACCACCACCACCACAAGGACACATCATCTTTCTATCCGCTTTATCCACCAAACCTTACACAACTAGCTGCGAAGGGTCAAACAACCAAATGAATAAAAAGAGGGAAGCTAATTATAGTTAATTAAGGTAAAATAATATGCTTGTGGCATGGAGGGTGGTGGTAGACCCAGCTGAGCCGACTTAGCTTCGAGTGAGACAGTGACTTAGGGCCAGTTTGGCATTGCTGTGCTGTGAAAATAATCGCTGTCAGATTTGTTGTGAGAGAAATCAGCTGTGAGAGAACACAGTTTGGCGTTTGGTAAACTTTTTGTTAGAAGTGTTGTTGGTATGAATTCTCATATAATCAAAAAATAATTGCTGCATAATCATTAAATCCAGCGCCTCTTTGAAACTGATTCATGTATAATCAGAAAATGAAAGCACCTTATTAGCTGCTTTCCCAAATAGCTTTCTCTCACAGCAATTTTTAACAATAAGTGATTTTCTAATAGTTTACCAAACGGGTTGTGCTTCCCAAAATTTTTAAAAAATCACTTATTATCCCAAATAAGCAATACCAAACGGGCACTTAATATTAGCATTATATTAATTGTCCTTTTGATAATCAATTTTTTTTTTTAGTGTTAGAGTATAGAGGAAAATGAGAATGAATGGAAGTGGGAATGAGATTGAGATAGAGGATGAGAGGGGAGGGTGGGAGGGAGGAGTAATAAAAGTGAAAACAAAAACTTGAAAGTGAATTTAATTTCAAATATATTTCAGTTTTTAGTTTTTATTTTCACTTTTATTACTCATTCCTCTCATCATCCTCTTTCACTTTTATTTTCACTTTTATTTTCAGTTTTCAGTTTTAAAATAAAGTGTTGGTCATGTGATATACTGATTTAGTCTAACTTAGCCGTCATATGATACTTAGTTATGAGATTTTAATTTCAAAGTATGTATTATAACTTAAATTAAAAGAATAAATATCTCACTTAATTCCAAACATATTTGCTAGAATATAGAAGTTTTATTAAAGTGGAATAAAGAGGTTTACATTTTTTGAGCTAGAGTGTTGAACCAAGTTGGTCCAACTTTGAGCTATCATTGTGCATCCGTGGGAGTGACGGCAGCAATGGGTCCCACTTGTTGATCAGGCAGCGTCAGCGGCAAAAGTGGACGTGGCTTCTGAGAGAAAAACGATTGATTTCCATGGTTTGTTGTTTTTGTTGTTCTAGTTTGAGAAATGAGACAGCTATTTATAGAGTGAGTTGAATTGTCGAGCCGGAACAATCATCTAGAACAATTGGTAGCCCAAGCAACATAAATAAATATCCGTACAAGCTTGTATTAAAATATTGCGCAGACATATATAGAGAGAGTAAAGAGGTCGGTCGGTGCTTGAGTTGAGTTGTGTGAGTAGTAGCCACATATATTATGTGTTGGAATGGGCAGATCAAGACCGTCAGACAGTGATTTAGCGCTGCAAGGAACGATTGAGATCTTAATGCATATTGGGACTCATTAATTATATGGTATCCTCAATACATTATAATCTTAATGCATGCTTCCCTCAAAGATCATCTCTCCAAAAAATAACTTGAATTTGAAATCATTTGACTGCTCAATTAGATTTTTGTTATTATAGTCTTTTCTTAAAGCACTACGTTTGTATATTTTGTCGATCCCAATTAGATGCCTTAATGAATTTCAATTTGCATGATTTTTTATAAGGATAATCTATTAATGTAAATTTGAAAAATAGACAGTTTGAATATTTAAAACAAAATTTATAGGGAATCCTAAAAGGTGTCCCTCAATGGATGGCAAAACTTAATTTGATTATACCTTGGTGAGCATTATTACCACTGTAATTGTCGTTGAATGAGTGTAATTCAATTTACTTGCTACACAAATCTAGAAAATTCCACTCATCTAACGGCCTAAAACCTTAGTATTCACCGTAAAATAGAATTATGTTTAAGCAAGACAAATCAAAGAAATTTGACATGTATGGTGTTAGATTTTCCATCAATACAAATTCAAGCAAGACGAATCAAAGAAATTTGACACAAACCGACGAGAAAGGATCGTTTTCATATATGAGGACAAGCTGATTGCAAATGTGTGTCTATTACGCGTTCAACGCCATTTCAGTATATGTATAAAGAATGATTATGCATAAAGAGAAGCATGGTATTTAATTAAAGCTTCATTTCATTTATTTATTTATTTATAATAAGTAAGATAATGCTAATTAGTTATCAACAGATACCAACCAGAATGCATGGTGATTGATTAAAACAGAAGCTCCAAATGTCCAAGTTGGCCCCTTATTACTATAATAAATCAAGTGATGCTCTTATATTTTCTATTTAATCGTATATTTTTAGCTGCTCTTATGATGTTTTGATAATAAATAAATAAATAGATTAAAACAGAAGGTATTATCTTTGTGTTTTTTATTTGCACATTCACACTATTTAGGGTTAGCAATTTGTATGGTTCGCAACGCAACCGTTTTACTTGGACATGTGTTTTACTTTTATATTATAACAAGGTAATTTGCATAAATAATAATATATGAAAATTTTCCATTCATAGTGGACGCAACGCAACCGTTTCTCACTCTTTGTAGTTTTTACTACCAACAAAACAGAACCAAGGATTTGGTTCAACTTTATCCCAACCAAACAGAAGCAACTCTAATAATAACAACACAACCAAACAAAGCTGTACGCAAAAACTTATGGCCTGGACGTTTGTCAGGAGAAAAACTTCCCTATCTCCGGTTGTATACGTAATCAATACATCTCATCTAAGCTTTTCTCCGGCATTGACCTAGGCCAGCAGCAAATTTGTGAAATTCCTAAGATAGTAAATACACAAATTCCACCGGAAATTTCCAAACTTGCACAAAACAGAGCAAGTTATTCACACATAAAAATTAAAAAGCTATTTGACCCAAAAAAAAAACTTAAAAAGCTAAAAGTACAAAAGGGCGTATTGGAATTGGTCATCAGTCTGAAGAGTCAGAGTCCCCTGCTTCAAGCACACCACCGTACAAAAATTACTCAACTGAGCAAGTGCAAAATTAAACCATCATACTCAGTCAGCTGTTTTGGGCACCTCAGCCTGTGCTTCTTCTCCAGCAGCCTCCTCCACCTTCCTTTTCTTGGCATTGCTTCCCTCCACCTCACCAACAACACTACTTCTATCAGTCTCCTCCTCCTCCTCCTCCTCCTCCTGCTGAAATTATCATGTCATAAGGATTCATATGCAAAAATGTATATATGTTTACACAAAAAAAACAGAGAATATATATATACCAGTAGGTCCACTGCAACTTGGTTGAGGTCTGGAATGCAAGGCCTGTGCTTCAACCCTTTAGCTGAAGAGCAACCCACCTTCCACCCCAATGCCAGGGGAGTTGGGTGGGTCATGGAGGCGGTGGATGGCATTGGCATGTCAATGGTTATGGGCATTTTCATAAACAGCCCCACTCGGACGCTTTCCATCACTGCCTCCATAACTCGGTCTTGCAGAGTCAACATGTGCCATATCTCCACCGAGTCCAAACTTCCGAGTCCACTAGAAGTCAACATCTTCAGGTACTCGGTTTTCTTCTCCTCGCCGAATTTGGTGGCGACGTAGTCACCCACACGACCCACAAATTCAGCGAGGTTGATCTTCTTCGCGGACGACACCAGTGCCTTCATCGCCGCCGAACTCGCCAGGCTGTGTATGATGTTCGGGTCGGGTATTTCGGAGTTACTGACCCGATCCAGATCAATCATCGTGCGGTCTCCATCATCACTCGATATCACGCAAAGCTTCATGAAGTCGAACTTGTCCGCCGCCGAGAAATTGAAGTTGAAGGCAACACCGGAGCAAAAGGCGCGAGCTTTGACCATACAGCCCTTCGGAATCGGGTCGGTGACGTCCATCACTCGGATGCTTTCTGGGCTAAGAGCCTTGTCTCCGGCGGTCTGGAGGACCATGTAGTATCGGGTTGTTTTGGCACTACGGTCAACCGGGTCACCGGTTTTTGACTTGGGTCCGAAGGCTGCGGCCAAAGGTTCGGGTGCACGGGCAACCGGGTTACCCGCTACGAGGTCATGGTTCATTTTGGGGTAGAGGGCAAGCGGATGAGATCGGAGTTGTTTGAGTAGCATTTCGGCCAAGTTGTGGCAAATCAAGGGAGCAATTGGAGAAGACGACGCCATACCCGCCGTATCTAGTAGATCTGTGAGTTTGCAGAGAGGGAGAGAGAGAGAGTTGAAAGTGAAGAGTAAAGGTTAAGATGGTGAAGTGTGTTTGTTGAGGGCTGGGAGAGGAGGTCTTTTTTATAGGCAACTGGTGGTGGGTTGTGTTGCTTAGCTTCTAAGCCTCCTCTATGGGTAGATGGATTTTGATGGGTTTTTTCAGAAAATACGCCATACCCGCCGTATCTAGTAGATCTGTGAGTTTGCAGAGAGAGACAGTTGAAAGTGAAGAGCAAAGGTTAAGATGGTGAAGTGGGTGTTTTGAGGGCTGGGAGAGGAGCTTGGAGAGAGAGCAAGGGGCTTCTCATTTTTATAGGCCACAGGTGTGGCTCCATAGCTTAGGTACGGCTCCAAACCAAGCCTCCTCCATGACCATGCCTAGTTGGGCTCAGCCCAGGGAATAAAAGAAAAGGGGTGGTGCTAGAGGCACCAACTCTCTAATATAGGTGGAGCCTTTCGATACAACGGGTCCCATGCTCTATTAGAGAGTTGGTGCTCAAAGTAATGCCCAAAATTGATGCCTTTAGCATTTTCCCAAAAAAAAAAGAAGATATTTACCTCATAATCCAGGCACGGCGCCAAAAGTTTGTGTTCCTTCCTCATAATAAAATATCGATTGCACAGAAACTTACGGGTCTTATTTCATTTCACACTGTCTTCGTACATCTAGAAGTTCCATTCATTGATCATTGTTTGTTTGTTTTTTTTTTTGGGAAACGAAACGATATTTGATTGATCATTGTTTGACTGCATGATTAAATCATCATCCCATCTCCAATCTCTGCCATCCACGTGGCACAGGCCTTCGACTTCTTTTTGTTTGTTTGTTTGTTTGTTTTTTGTGTTGTGTAATTGATTGATATTCTATTTCAAAAGTATGTGCAATAATAAAATCCACTTTAAATAGTATGTGCATTAATGACATTTAAATTCTGATCTTACTCATTTTAAACAATAGATAGGAACAAAAAATTTAAATACAAAAAAGTTAAATATAAAAGCTTGAATCAACATATAAAAAATAGAACGTAATCTACATGGCAAACTAGTCAAATGACTTATCAACAAACAATAATTCGAGGATTAGACCCAACTATTGGTTGGATTTTTGAACATCTATCAACTTTCCTTAAAAATAAATAAATAAATAAATAAAACTGCCGACCAAATAAAAACAATAGCTGATATGTTATCAAAACGAAGGTGGCATCTGATAAGCTATCATTGTGCATGGAGTGACGGCAGCAATGGGTCCCACTTGTTGATCAGGCAGCGTCAGCGGCAAAAGTGGACGTGGCCTCCTCACACGACGTCGTATTGCACGTATGGGGCGAGGGAATATTCTATGTTCAATTTGGGCTTGGATCTGTCTCCACAGCCTGCGAGCCAAGCCCAGCAGCAGCCAACCAAATAACAGCAAGATGCTCAAAACCCACAGCATAAAGGGCCAGCTAGAATAGTAGTTTGGAAACACAAGTGAGAGGATTGAGGCGAGCGAGGCGAAGCCAAACAGGAGCATGGCCATGTGAAACCAGGGATAAGGACTATCCGGGTTAAGAAATCGGTGCCTAACCCCAAAGGCCAAGCTATAAGCAAGCAAGGTGTAGAGGACGATGTTCATGGCCACAGGGCGAGTCTTAAAAAGATTTTCATTAGGGTATTTCATCTGAACGAAGGTTAAGAGAGTAGGGATGACAAAGGCCAGTATGTCGTGGATAGATATCGAAACCGTCAACGTTAATATTTGCGTAAAGTTGAAGAGCTGCAGATTGTTCGAAGGGTTTCTGAGAGAAAAACGATTGATTTCCATGGTTTGTTGTTTTTGTTGTTTTTGTTGTTCTAGTTTGAGAAATGAGACAGCTATTTATAGAGTGAGTTGAATTGTCGTGCAGGAACAATCATCTAGAACAATTGGTCGCCCAAGCAATATAAATAAATATCCGTACAAGCTTGTATATTAAAATACCGCGCAGACATATATAGAGAGAGCAAACAGGTCGGTCGGTGCTTGAGTTGAGTGTGTGAGTAGCCACATATATTATGTGTTGGAATGGGCAGATCAAGACCGTCAGACAGTGATTAGCGCTGCAAGGAACGGTTGAGATCTTCCGTGACACCTTTCATCATGGTTTTGAATAAAAAAAGAAAGGTCGAAAATGATGTATGCAAGCTCATGTCATGCTGCAGAATGCAGATTGCGGCGCAACTGAATTGATAGAAGATTATTGACGAAGTCATTTTTGTAAAAGGAATTTTTGGTTTCTGTCCAATGTGGATGCTTACGTGTTTGGGTTTCCACTTGTGCCGCCATATAGGGCAACAACCACTTAGATTGAACCAGTTTTCTTTAACTTTGAGTCTTTGACCTCTATCCATGCACCTAATAGTCAAGGCCCAATACTTTTTATTACTTTCTCAAGTTCCCTAATGCCTTTTTGCTTCTCTCTCTTTCTATAAAAGAAAAATATACAAGTGAGTGATGGTCTAAATTATGAGAGAGAGAGGATTTCTCACACACACTAATAGGATGTTATGAGAATTTAAACTTGTAACTATTAATCAGCAAATTAATGTCATTTTTCACTGGAGTAGACCCTGTTGGTGCATGTGTAAGGGTTTAAGAAGGCTTTTAGGTCTAGGATGAGGCAAAGGAAAAAAGAAAAAGAAATATCAGGTAACCATATTATTATCATTTGAAACACAACACTTTGTCATAGGTTGGAGAAAATACGAGTGCTATCGTAAGGCATACAAGTAAAAATAGTCAAGCTACTACCATGTCTTCTACTGAGATAGTAATAGGTTCACAATGCACTTTGAATTTTAGGATATTTTCGTTTAAATATTTAATTTCAAATAAATTGCGTGTGATTGGCGCAGGAGGGCGTCGTTTCGTTTGCATCCATTCCGAACTCACACACGTATCCTCCTCCTTTGCGTGTGATGTGATTGTGAGCTGGATTTTGTCACTCGGATATGACTCGAGCAACCCAGGATTTGGGCTTTATCTTGCCTCCAATGGGCTTTTGTTGGGACTATGACTGCTGAATTTAAGCCCTCTATTCTCTCTTCTACCTAAAAAATGGTCTTATATATATAGGGCAGTCAAATATAGGGAATCTTGCAAGTTGTTCTAAGAGGATGAATCTGGTTGCTACCTTTCTAACCAAGGAAATATGCTTGGTGTTGTAAGAAATTCCATCAGGGAAGGAAATTGTTACCTTGTAGCTTAATCTGTTTTCACAAATGGATACACATTAGTGATTTGCATGTATATCATGCCATACAGACAAGCAACTATAGCATGGAAAGATTATCAGCACTAGATTCCTAAAGAATTGGATGTAATGTCATAGTAACACGTGATGGTAACATTTGTGCTTAGAACCAGTTTGTAAGGACAATTTCAATTTAGGAGATAATGGAAACAATCTTACAGGGCAATATATATAGAGGATTGATTATCATGCTGAGAAAACAGAACTAAACATGTATCATGTTATCATTGTAATACAGGTGTGCGAATTATGCATTCATGTTCAAATGCAGGATCCAATAACACCCAAGGACTTCATGCGTCAACAGAAAACAGCCGATGACTAGATATAAGGTGCATGCTGTAGTTTGGACTTATCATGCTTCCTAGAATTTATAGTGAATCTTGGTTTTCTGAAATTTATAATACATTCTCAGGTACCAAACAGAGTGCAATTGTGCAAGTGGCAGGTCGTCAGTTTATATCAAAGCACCATTCATAAGAGGATCATCAACCAATGTGAAAAAGATGTCCAAACATAAACAAGGATGCATATCCCGTGCAGCAAGTACCTAAGCAAAAGGATTGCATGAAGTCATGGCTCATAACCAAGCTCCTAATACATACTCCAAGTATATATCGAATCATTCTAAGGCCGCAAGGACGATTGTACTCTTCAAAGTAAAAAGAAAGAAAAAAATATAACTGGGTGATGCTTAGTCTGTGTCAGAGACCTCCACTTCCATCACCCCCTTCTTCTGCTTGTGTTCAGCTGCAGCATCCATCATAGACCGGTCTGTAACCTCACCAACGTGAAGAACTAACTCGGTCTCAGGCACAACGCCAGCCTCATCCTGAAACAAGATTGAAACATAGGTATTCATCTTTCAACAATAAAATAGATCAGATCACAACATAAGAATTTCATACAATTAATCTTAACTACGTTTAGTCTCTTTACTATACATAGAGAATTACAAAGACCGGGTACTGGACACCAACTAGTACTCCAAAGATAGAAATCATGCTTTTGGCCACGGTTTACTTGATGCTAAACCATATGCATAAACGTAATTATATGTACGCATACAACATTCTTATCATTACCCAAGTAAACCCAAATCAACAAATTTCTTACAGAAAAAATATTTACAAAAAACAAAACAGAAAAAGGCTTGCTGTAAAAGTAAAACTCCAAATGTATTTACCCCAAGTTGTCAATTAAGCCTCTAAAGCAAGGTCACGGAACGTTACCGTCGGCCATAGCCTGGCTGGGCCTCCAACCCGGTGCCGGAGTGGGAAAAACCTCATGTGGTGCTGGAGGCATGAAGAAACTGGCAGGATTTGTGCCTAATCCCATATCCTCCATTACCTTGAGCACCTGGAATGGCAGAGTAAGGTAATTCCACATCTTGATGCTTGACCCGGGATGCAGGGCTCACCTTTTCGAGGTACTCTTGAGCTTCTTTCTCCTTGCCAGCTTGGACAAGGGAGCAATGCATAATTTTGATGAAGCGTTTGTTGCTGGCCACCAGAACCGGCGCCACGCAGTCCTTGATGAAAGCAGAGTCGACCGGACCGGGTTTAATCCGATGGGCTGAATTGCTTTTATCCACAGCAATTTGTTCTGGAAGACCCTCTTCAAGGCAAGAGTGTGACAAGCAGTTTTCCAGTATGGGAACCATTTCTTCTTTCTTCTGGAGAAACTGTTCTGGGATCAGATCGAGTTCCTTGAAGTGAGATTCCATTAGGCTTGCAAGAACAGAGGCGTCTGGATTGAGAGGGTTCGACATCACTGTTGAATTCTTGGGTTTAGGATTTTGGGTTTTTGGAGAAGAAAGGCTATGGTGGACGGTGGTGAACTTTGAAGGCACACGCTGAGGCTTTGTATTATAATTTTTTTTTTAAAAACACACAACTGTTTCACTAGCCAGGAATGGTTCAATCAAATTGTTATTTGTAGTTTTGTCGGAGAAAATAGAAAATTCAATTAATAATTAATAATACAGATGGTCATCTTCTTCCCTTTCAAATGCAACGCAAGTTTAGATTTTCATTTCCATGTGTTTTAGTTATTTGAGAAAATTAAAGACATGAGAATTATTGGGTGTGGCTTAGAAGTAACTAACCACGGTCATCGCTTATTGCCCTTTCTCAACCAAAAAAAGAAGTAGATGGATATTAATAAATAAAAAAATTGTAATTCCATTGAAAAAACAATGGAGCTTAAACAAATGCATGCAAGAGTGTATTTTGTGCTATAACTTGCAACTGTTGAGGATAAAAAATCATACGTTGATGATTTCAAGATTGTGCAGAAATATGACATCCGATTCTCTAGGATGGTTCATGGTTTTGAGGAGACTTTTATTCAAGGGAGAAAATGAAAATGACATATTTTATGCTCACCACTTTAACTTAAGATGTATTCTCATCATTCTTCTTAATATTTGACATGTGTTCATACGCATAATTATGATTAATTTTTTCCTTTGTATTTATGAAACCGTAGTTTTGCATATGAACATGTATCAAGTGTTGAGAAGGATGTTGATACAGCTTAAGTTAAAGTGGTGGGCAAAAATACTTTCGAACCTTTATGAAATTCCAAGTCAGGATTTTAGTTAGTTGAAATATAACTTTTAGAAAAACATGTCCCATCTGATACAACCAATACACAGAGATATTTGGCCATCTGATAAAAAAATTCTACAATTTGAATCTAGACAAATTATGAGTTGTTTATTTTAATACATGAACATTATAATTTTAAATGTCTTCGAATGAGACGTTTAAAATCAACATGCATGCTCAGTGGCGGACGCACAGAGGGACAAATGGGGTCAGGCGACCCCATGGAAGCTTGGAAACGCAGTGGAGAAGGACTGGTGCGACCCCATGGCTGGCTGGTGTGCGACCCCATGGCGCACACCAAGTGCTCGACGAAATACCTAGCAGAGGAAGAAGAAGAAGCTGGCGCAGGCAGCGCCTGCCTTGCGCGCGCGCGAGTTCTTTTTTTTTTAAACCGCCTGGCCAAAACGACGCCGTTTTGGTCCAGGCGTGTTAAATTTTTTTTTAAAAACCTGGCTCAAAACGACATCGTTTTGAAGCCAGGTTTAAAAAAAAAAAAACCCATCAGCAGCCCCTATCTACCCGATTCTAATTCCCAGCAGCAGCATTTCAATTCATCCCAAAACCTAATTTTTTTTTTTCAAAATTCCCTCTCCTCTAAAAACCTAACTAATCCCCCCAACCTCCACCACCAACCACTACAGGCCGCCGAAACTTAACACTATGACCCCATGGCGACGTAATCCTGCGTCCGCCACTGTGCATGCTCAAAGATGAAAACTTTGAACGCAAGGAAGAAGGAGTACTGGAATTGGGAAATGAGAAATTCCAACTGCCACGTGACCAGCGCATATGGTGTGTTGTAATAAGGCTCGTGCGCCTAAAGGACCAAGGTGAACGGTCCTTATACCGCCACGTCGCCAAGGTAGAGTGTGGGTGTGACGGATAAGGAAACGTGTTGAAGCCCCACCGGGAAAAAGAAAGGGAAAAGAACCCACCAATGACAAGCCAAAATTAAGCAATGAATTAGGAAAATATTAAACAGAAAATGTTGTCGATAAATTGTTATTTCTTGCTTCGCATCATTTTTAAACCCGATTTCTCATTGAAAAAATAATATAGATAAACAATTTAGAGATATGGGAGAAAATAATACACACATGCATAGGGTAGAAACCGTCTTATTCTTGCTAACAAACAACAGCGCTAGTAGCAACCAAGCCAAGGAAATGATACATAACGTATCTGAATCGGATAATAAAATATACCAGCAACCATTTGTCAAAGTCATCATGATAAGATATATACCCCAACTTTAGGATTCTCAAATTTGACATGTTTATTTCCCAGGTTTATTTGAAGTACATCATTCCGAGCCTTTTCAAGTCAATCATCTAATTCATTCAGAAAAGCTCCATCAAATTCGGACGATGAAAGTCTCCTGGAGGTCATTGTAGTACTTAGGATCGTTTTCACCACACCAAGACAAATTCATCGCATATATTATTATTATTATTATTTTAAGCAAAAAAAAAAAAGTGAACAAACAGTTGAAAATTTGATTCTCCTTCCTTCCTGTCTGTCAACGAAACAAACAGTGGGAAATCCTCAAGTATCAAGTGTTTTAGTTATTTGAGAAAATTAAAGACATGAGTATTATTGGGTGTGGCTTAGAAGTAACTAAGCATGGTCATTGCTTATTGCCTTTTCTCAACCAATAAAATAAAGTAGATGGATATTAATAAATAAATAAATGTAATTCCATTGAAAAAACAATGGAGCTTAAGCAAATGCATGTGCAAGAGTGTAAATAGAACAATTTTATTCTTTTATTCAAGTAATATTAGAATAGTGGTAAATGTTCTTATACACAAATTTGTCCAAAAAGAAAAAAGAAAAAAGATGGAGGCGGCTGAAGCGAGAGAAGAACGATAATATTGAGTGGAAGAGAGGTTATTATTCGGGCTGCGAAGTTGGGTTTAGGGATTTGAATATCAAATTAAAACATTGAATTTAAAATATAAAAAAGTAAACAAATTAATCTATCAATATATTTTATTATAAAAATTAAATAAATACTATATTATATCAAAACAGATCGGATATACCCACATTCATATACTATATTATGTTCCGCTAACAAATTCGGAACATAATCGGATTATTAGATAAAATTATGAAATCCATCTACTCCAAACCCCATTTATATTTCTCCTCAACCTTAAACCCCTCAATCTCCCCCCAAAACCCTTAACCCCCCATCTCCTCCATTGCGGTCACGACCAAAATCCTGCCAATTGGAGCCTCAACGAGGCCTTTCGCAACGAGCGCCTTCTGAATTTCGGTTCCCATGGTGAGAATATTCCAGACACGAATCGAATCAAGGTTTCTGATTTCGGATTCACTTTTGCTGCTCAGAATCTTCTTGTACTCTACCACCTTGTCATCACTCTCGTACTCGCCCAGGTACGACACCACGTAATCAATGAACTGAGAGATGTTCTGGCTCTTTATTTCTCCGACGAACTCCGTCGCCGGCTCCATCGCATCCGATGGCAAGACATTGAGATCCGGGATATAATTGGGTCCCCTGATTGGTGCGGGGTCCACAAAATTCTGGTCACCACCCTCAGCCGGCACCAGAAAATAGAAATCCACCACTTGCCGGCTGCTGCTGCTATGGCGTAAGGTCATGTTCAACTTGAACGCCCTGATTGCAGCTAGAGCATCTTGTCGGGTAGGTCCATTGACCGGGAGAACAGTCACAAGGACCTCATCCGGGCACAAACTAGTACCTCCGTTGCCGCTGTAGGCCGTCGCGTACACCGTTTGGCGCCAGGATAGCAGCTGAGGCTTGACTGTGTCCAGCCCCTCCAATGTTACTGCTTTCTTCAACCTCTGCAGGTCGGATCGTTGGCAGACGGACTTCTCTTAGGTGGTGGGGAATTAAATTGGAAGAAGGGCTGGAAGGAGAAGCCATGGCCATTGTTGCTATAGCTAGCTAGCTCTGAACCAGATGTTGAGAAAGAAAGAGAGTGAGAGGAGACAGATGTGTTTCAGGTGAAGAAGACGGAGATTGTTTGTTTGCTTTATATAGAGGGGTTTATTTTTGGTTGGTTTGCTTTGCAAAGTGGGTCCCACTGGGCTCGCCTGTCTCATTTTCATGAACAGTCAAGAAGTGGAGACCATTGGTAGTGGAAACATCTTTCACAATTCCTAGAAAGATAGTTCATTAATAGACCGATGGATGACTGCTGGAAATATGAGTCGAAGCAACAACAAAAATAATATTTCTTTCACAATCCCTGAAAAGATAGTCACTAAGGAATGGCTGCCTGAGAAGTAATCTGAGGATTGGAGAAATTGGTTTTGGAACCCTCTTACATATATTCATGCTTGCTTTCTCTACCATGTTCTGTATAATAAATTGTCGGTCTTCTTTCTTGTCAGGCACTCTTTTCGCCGGATGCTCAGACCGGCGTGCTCGGAGGAGTGTAGAAGCTGCTGGACCGACACCAATGCCCTGATTGGATCTTCTTGGCTCACACAGAGGTGCTCTCTCAATTTTCAACAAAATTGAAAGTTGAATCAGTTTGACATAATCAAGCTTAGCCCTGCAACGGGCTCAACTTCCAGATTCCTCATGATTCATGTGTATGCTTTGTAGGCGTGCCACTGTTGGATATGGGACCAGTGACCAGTCCAACAGACTTGGTATGAGCGAGTGTGATGGATGTTTTTGTGAGGTTTGCACCTTTCTTCTGAACCTCCGTTCAAGCCATTGTGCTCCAAGTGGGGTATTGGCATGGATTAGTTCTTTTCTGCGCCTTAGTTAAGAGGACTTCAACATTCTCTCTTTCGTGTATACGTCAATCCTGATTGGTGCGAGCGACACCTAATCAAGCAAGGAGGAAAGGACAGGGTTCTTGGTTAATAAACACCTCACATGGGTTTATAAACCTAAATATGAATTTAGATAAATCTCTTAATAAACTGACTACAAATTCAGGCCCAACAATATGATTCTCGGGCCCAATTGGTCTGTATCCCTTAAGCATGTGTGGCCTTATTCGGGCTAAGAACCTTTCATGACTTCATAATTTAAACAACAATGGAGGCGGGAAAACACTTAAATATCACATGCATGAAGAGAAATATACATATGAGCAGGATAAAATGGTTTAAAAATGAATTCCGTCATTCCTATTTGTCCAACTCTCAACTCAACAGCAGAGACAATGAAGATCCGTGTTTATTGATTCCAGACTATGAGATACATTATTATGATGATTTAAGGCTTTTCATACAATCAGC